GGGCCAGACCCACTTCCTCAGATCAAATAATGGAAGAAAACAGTCACAACCATATATACCAAAGGATACAATTTTAAAAAAATGAACACACATGAAAAGGACAAATCACATTACAGAACAGAAGAGGGTTTGGGGGGGGGAAGGAGGTGAATGCCAGTGAGTTAATGATATTAGAGGTGGGGAAGGGGAGATGTCTGTGAGTTAATAGAATTAGAGGTGATAATGGGGGAAGCTATCTTTGTAATGGGTAAGATAGCTGGGGTCTTTGTTAAGTCCCGTGTGGAGAGTTTCGAAGAAACCATTGAGAAAATACCATTATAGAGAACCTGTTACCCAATTCGGTGCAAGATGTAAGTACATTTTGAACTTGGACATTACTATGTATTGTTTTAGAGATGGCTAGGTGCTTGCATTCCACAAAACATAAAACACAGATCATCTTTGCCCAGGAGGTCTTAGACTACATCACAGCTGGGGATGCGTGATTCATGAAGACTTACCCACACTATTGTTTATCTAGCTAGCTTATTACTAATAGCAGTGAGGATGTAGCAGTGGAGGCTGCACAAGAAAACACGTATATCGTGCAACCTGCACCAAGCCCATGGTGCTCAGCTATTGTAGAGGGTGGGGGACAGTTTGAATTTTATAATGGCATTTTGCACAAAATCTGAGGTTTTTATTTTGCTTTTCTGGATTTAATCAGAAGTATGGCTCTAAGGGCTGGAGGGGGTTTGCCGCAATCCGAGCAGTGCTAAGGTCTGACTGCCTGATGCCTCTCACATTCTTGGGCCATGGAGCTGAACCCCCTCCCACACCTTGCCCCAGGGCTCCTCATGGCCATCAGCCCCACTCCACAGAAATGGTGCGGATTTGATTTCAAGAGCACTCACCCAGAGATGTAATTGAGGAAGAACGCCTTCTTTCAAAAGTTCCTCTTTCGAAAGAAGGCGTTCTTCAATGTAAAGAGGCCGTCTTCAAAAGAGAGCATCCAGACTCGCTGGGTGCTCTCTTTCGAAAAAGCGGATTTCTCTTTCGAAAGATCCGCCTGCAGTCTAGACGCGATCTTTTGAAAGAGGCTCTTTCGAAAGAAGCCTGCAGTCTAGACATAGCCCTAGAGATGTAATAACTCTCAGAAACACTGCGCATGATCTTGAGACATGCTAAGAGACCCTGTATATTTTCAGCTAGAGACTCAGCCACAGGAACATGGATAGTCCTGAAACTTTAAATGTGGATTCTTTCATAAATCTTGTGGAGGCCTTTGGTCTTTTTAACCCCATGTATATGGTCACAGTCTGAATTTATTATACTATAAACAGAGGAAGTTTCTGTCTGATCACCACAAATTGCTAACATCTGTCTACTGCTGCAATGTTCCCTAAAATAATGCACTAAACAAAAATCTTCTGGGATCCCTTTTACCCTCACCCCAAAGTGCAGAGCTTAAAAAACACCAAAATATTGCCAGTCACAGCTCTCTGTGCCATTAAACCACAGTTCTAGGATTCCAGATGGCCAGATACTGCATTGGCAAAATAAACGTTTACTGTCAGAATTCTTTGAAATCTGTTAAAAATTGCCATTCTTAGAATAGTGTTTGAGGCAATAACTCTAGGTGTGGCTGCTAATACCCAATTTTTCTCCTTCCACCGAAAAAAAATACTTACTCATACATTCGGTGATGGGTGACTTATTTGATAGGAGAGCAAAATTTTGCTTTACAGAATCCTGTGTAGAGCTCCCGTCTAAATAGCTTTCTTCCCCCATTGTGGGATTTATGCGCAAGCCAAGTAAGGTAAGGTTTAGCACCTCAGATTATAAGGGGCCTCTCAATACAAAAAATTACTAAATATCATTTTTATTTTTTTGGCAATGTTATGGGGCCTCTTAAACTTGACGTAGTTTAGGGCCTCAGCATGTCTTAATCCATCTCTGTATTATGTTCATTTTCATTTAAAGTGAAACATAGTTGAAACCACCAAATAACAAGTGGAGTTCCTCAAGGGTCTGTTTTGGGACCCGTACTATTCAATATCTTCATCAATGATGTAGATATTGGGATAGAGAGTACTCTTATTAAGTTTGCAGATGATACCAAACTGGGTGGGGTTGCAACTTCTTTGGAGGATAGGGACATAATTCAGAATGACCTTAGCAAGTTAGAGAAATGGTCAGAGGTAAACAGGATGAGGTTTAATAAGGAGAAATGCAGAGTGCTCCACTTAGGAAGGAACAATCAGTTCCATACATACAAGATGGGAAGCGACTGTCTAGGAAGGAGCATGGCGGAAAGGGATCTAGGGGTCATAGTGGACCACAAGTTGAATATGAGTCAACAGTGTGATGCTGTTGCAAAAAAAGCAAATATGATTTTAGGTTGTATCAACAGGTGTGTTGTAAGCAAAACTCGTGAAGTCATTCTGCCGCTCTACTCTGCACTAGTTAGGCCTCAGCTGGAGTACTGTGTCCAGTTCTGGGCGCCACATTTCAAGAAAGATGTGGAGAAATTGGAAAGGGTACAGAGAAGAGCGACAAGAATGATTAAAGGTCTAGAGAGCATGACCTATGAAGCCAGGCTTCATGAACTGGGCTTGTTTAGTTTGGAAAAACGAAGATTAAGGGGGGACATGATAGTGGTTTTCAAATATCTAAAAGGGTGTCACAAGGAGGAAGGAGAAAATTTGTTTCTCTTGGTTTCTGAGGACAGGACAAGGAGTAATGGGCTTAAAGTGCAGCAGGGGAGGTTTAGATTGGACATTAGGAAAAAATTCCTAACTGTCAGGGTGGTCAAATATTGGAATAAATTGCCAAGGGAGGTGGTGGAATCTCCCTCTCTGGAGATATTTAAGAACAGGTTAGACAGACATCTGTCAGGGATGGTGGTGACGGAGCTTGGTCCTGCCTTGAGGGCGGGGGTGCTGGACTCGATGACCTCTCGAGGTCCCTTCCAGTCCTATGATTCTATGATTCTTTTAAAACTGCTAAAGGAAAGCAGATCACCTTACAGACACGCCCACGATCCAGTTCTCTGTCTAGGGTCCTTTGACAGAGCTTGTGCTACGAAGCCATGTGAAACAGACTAGTTGCACATGGAAACCAAATAGAATATCAACAAAAGAGGTTTTGTATAAAATTCAGCTAAAGTGAATACTCATGTGTCTGTGAATAAGCAGAATGCTTTTGATTTGTGCAGTTTTGTTCTGGTTTGTTTGTATAATGTGACGCTTGGTCACAATATAGGACTTTAGGGTGACAAACCCTTGGAAAACCACATGTAGTGCATGAGTGGAACAATATCAGCATTTCATTATGAGTTTTGCCTTCACCATATTGGGATAAAATGACCCAACAACACAAAAGCCTAGACTTTCAAAGTTATTTAGGTCTTACATTTGGTGCCAGTTGATTGTGATACAGTTTCTTTAATTTTCTTCTGGAAAAGATTAATAGGTGAAGGAAGAACATGGGGAAAATTTGAGTCAAATGATGATACAGCCTCGTGGAAATTAGAAATAGATGAACGGAAGAACTTTTTTTATTCATACTGCAAGGATCAACAAAGATACACAGGACCACCTGTGTGGGGGAGTGAGGGAGGTACAGCAGCAGCATTTCAGACACTGTGGTGAAAATAGTGTCTGCTTTATCCCCACTGTCAGCCCCTACTCCTATAGATTTCAAATGGTTCTGCAGAAGTCAGGTTCAGGCTGAAACCTAGCACTAATGGGAGAGCGAGTACTATGTCAAGTACATGGGGACTGTACATGGGGACTGAATGAAACTAGGGCCCTTCAAATCAAAAATCACAAGAATCTGCTGGTTGAGCTAAAGACCCTGGTCCATTAACTTGAGGCAAGTGGTGGACTCAAACTTCTGTGCATGTTCTAGCCACTAAAGGAGGACAAACTCACACTGTGTTAGCATGGCTCAGAACTGCCTACGCTCAGTAACCCAGTTTGTGAATGGAAAATGGACAGCTTGCAACATAAATATCAAGTTTTCCCAAATACGCTTGTGCCCCCTTTGTTGAGATTAAGGGTAGGCTTGCCAGATGCTTTCACTCAAAAGCCTGAACGTGGCAGGAAAAAAAACTTGGGTTGAGGGAAAAAAAAAGGGAGGAGACCAAACTTGTTGACCCCTCCAAAAAAAGAAGAAAACAAAACAAAGGTCCCTGCACCTTTAAGACTCCCCGTGCTCCTCGCTTACCTATGCCAGATGCAGCAGGGGAACAATGAAAACAGAAAATACCAGACATTTTACAGGTCCGGTATTTTCTGTTTTTGGTTTTTTTTTTTTTTTACCAGACAGGGTCCAGAAATAATGGACTGTCCAAGTGAAAACCAGACACCTGGCAACCCTAGTTAAGGGTCACACTTGTAAACAAAAAACATTATATAATTAGCATCCTACCAAATTCCTGGTCATGAAAAGCATGTTGCAAACTGTGAAATCTGCTCTTCAGTGGCCTAGCTCTGAAGGCAGTGCCGCCAATGCAGCAGTAAGGGTAGCAGTACCGTGACCCACCGCACACCTTGGGACCCCCACAACTCTTTTTTTGGGTAAGGACCCCTACAATAACAACACCATTACATTTCAGATTTAAATTGCTGCTGTTATGAAAATCACAATTTTTAAAATCCTCTGAACGTGAAATTGTCCAGAATGGACCATGAATTTGGTAAGGCCCTAGATATTATAATAAGAGACCACATTTTCGTACTGAACTCCTCAGTTTTCTCTGTTGCTTTCCCTTTTAACCGTCCATGCTCTGGAAGACCTAATGCTAACCCTAGTAGCATCAGTGAAATGACTCTCATTGATTTCAGTGGGCTTTAGATCAGATCCTGTGTGCACAGCCATTCTTACTTAAAGCACGAGGGGGTAGAATTTGAGTCTTACTTCCCAGCTGTTGAGACAAGAGAACATGACAGCAGCAGAATATAGTTAAAGTTTCTCAACATGTTGATGTCTGTTCTCATTGATTATCAAATACTTACATTAATGCTAAATCCTCTGCCCGTCAGTGAGAATCCTGGTTTTTTAGGCTCTGACTCGGTTGCACCATGCCTGAGTTTTGTGTTGTGAGTGACAGCTTTCTCTCCCTTGGGATTGAGCTGAAATTAACAACAAGGAGTAGAAATAATAATTAATCCCAGAGTTTGAGATTTCTTTATGAATGCATAGCACATTAAAAGTTTGAAATCACGCACTCCAGCTGCTTAAGACTGTAAACTCAGATGAGGCAATAAATAAGTCACATTTAATTGGCAATTTTAAAATCTAAGTATCATCCTTCCTGAATAGGAAACCATTTTAAATTTGAGCCCATTTAGTTTGACCTTTGGTATCAAATTGTACACGTCAAAAGAAAACTCCAGGTTCTAACAGCTTATACAAACCTAAACGGAGAGTATTCTGACTCTGAGTCAAATGTCAAGCATCTGGATGGACTTAATTTACCAGAACCTGATGAAATAGGTGCATACAATTAACTCTTTTGGACTAAGAGAAATAATTTAAGTTCTTTCAGAAGACCAACAGAGGCTGGATTCTTTTCTTAACAATAATGATACTCTTTGAACTAACCTTTGCTCCAGCATAGCATTTCAAAGGATTGAAGTAAACAGTGATTTTAAAGGGATGTTTGGGCATTTACTTGCAAATCACTGATTTTATTCGTATGGTTTCTTATACAACTCTGAAGCCTCACCTCCAGGGCCGCATTATGACTTTCGTGGACCCTAGGCACTTTTACCTTCGTGGGCCCCTCCCACCATAATAATATCAATATTAAAAATTATTTTTGATATAACTTTAAATACTTCAACATTTTATTTTTTTTCTGCTTTAGGCAAAATTTAATAGATTTTCATGGGCCCTAAAAGTTCATTTTTTTTCTTCTGATTTTAAAAGAAATTAAAACATTTTCGTGGGCCCCTAAAAGTATTGTGGGTCCTAGGCACTGTGCCTGCTGTGCCTAATGGATATGTTGGCCCTGCTCACCTCATGTCATTCTTATAGCTATATTTAAATGAATTATTTTGAAAATGTATGGCGTTCACAAGAAATCGTGTCCTAAATGAGGATAATTTAAATGCATCTGGAACTGATCTGCATGGGATGTATTTTTTTAACTTTTGTTATCAATGGACACTTTGGTTTTCGACTGTTTGGGAACGAAGGGCTTGGTATCTCACATCTAAACAAAAACTCCTGCTAGAAAATGAAATTTACATTTTAGTTATTCAAATGTCAGGTCCTTCCTATGTCTTGGTGTGTGTCAGTTCTCAATTGAGAGTTAATAGTGACCAAGGGGGCTGACTGATTTGTTCGGCCCGTGGGCAAGGTAGGAGGAGGCCGGCTCTGCACTCCCAGAAGGGGCAAGACTTCAGGTGGAAAGGTTGGGGTTGGGAGCAACCAGCCCTCAGCGCTACCCACACTGGCCCTTCAACCTCACAGCCACCCGAGGCCTGTCCTGAGTGCACTGCGTGGCCTTCTGGCAATGATTTAAAAGGCCTGGGGTTAAGGCTACTGCTATTGCCACAGTAACAGGAGTGGCAGCTGGAAGCCCTGGGCCTTTTTGAGTCTCTATGCCCTGGGGCAACTGCTCCCTTTGCCCCCCACCCCCCCCCACCCTCCCGTTGACAGGCCTGATAGTGACTCTGTCTACTAGATGCTACTGTTAGATCTGAATTAATGTCAGTTGTTTTCCTGGTAGGGTGAGGCCCAGAAAACATCCTACATTTATCCTCTCAGAACAAATGTAACTCAGTGAGCCCCTCCTGATGAAAACCAGACTTCCACATGCTCATGGGCGATGCCTTCATTAATGCTTCAGAGAGATAAAACGTCTCTCATGTATTTAAATGACCCTCTATGACATATGATGTTTACACTTGGGTGCCTTATTTTAGAGTTTATAGCTGGTGCTTCAGGCAAAGCTAATGGCATCCTCTATTATAGGGAAATGTTGAATGCCTAAGTACTGACGGCACACACGCTGGAGAATTCTGTATTTGCTGAACAGTATCAAGTGATTCTATGATTAAAAAAAACTCATAAAGACTACATACAAGCAAATGAACTGAGTCAAGATTGTCATGAGAACTTCATTTATTTTTTGAATTTTATTGTTCAAAATGTCAAGCTCAATGCTTCACCAATATAGCTTTGTGGTGAATTGACAATACTTGATATTTTCTATGTAAAAACACATTTACTTAAAGAAAAAAACATTTGCTACAAGGATCTGCTACTACTTTGTTTGGAAGCTATCAAATACAGGCAGTCCCCGGGTTACGTACAAGATAGGGACTGTAGGTTTGTTCTTAAGTTGAATTTGTATGTAAGTCGGAACTGGTACATATTGTAGGGGAAACTCTAGCCAAACATTTCTCCAGAGCTCAGTTTTATTCTCCCACACCTCACTTCCCTCAGTCCTTTATTCTCAAGCTGAGGTGTCTGCTGAGAAAAGCCGCTCCACGTCTCCCTGGTCTGCTGGGGGGGGGGCTAGCTTCGCGTCTCTCTGATCTGCTGGGGGGAAGCAGCTAGTGGGGGGTTGCCTCACCCCGTTTGTAAGTAAGGATCCGATGTAAATCGGATCCATGTAACCCGGGGACTGCCTGTAGTTATATCAGATTTTTAAAAACTACATTCCATTTCCAAGGACCAAGAGACTATGAAAACCCTTCTGTCAGGAAGAGGTGACACAGACAGCAGACTTGTCTGAAGGGCTAAACCTGAAAATAGTTTCACCTCTAGAGGTATGCTGAGACTGTTGGATTCTGCTTTCATGGACCCTATGTATTTCAGTAGAATTACTCTTGGTCTATACAGTCTTTAATCTAGTCTTATAACAACTATTTAAAAGCTTGTTAAGTAACATCTTAAAGATCTTAGCTAGTCAAGCTCTTTATAAAATTCTGCCCATTATTTTACAGAGGTGGAGGTATTTTAATTGTACTCCAAAATTAAATCTATTTTTACTATAATCTCAAGAAACAAAAATTAAAGTACTTTCAGGTTTGCTTGCTGACTGTTGTGATACAGGTTTTCTTCATATTTTAAAGTCCTGAGATTGGTAAGGATTTAATTTTAAAATATTATTTAAGGAACTCTTGTATCTTCAATAAGGGACTCAGCTAAAATGTTTGGAATTAAAATTAATTTTAGTCTCTGCAAGTTATCAGAGCCCATTTAACTTTTCTACAGAAGACTCAATGCTTGCTAACAAGGTGGGACATTTCAAGCAAACATTACTAGCTAGTTACAATGCTCCACATCAAAGCTAAAAAATACCAACTAATTTCCACCTGGTTTCTGGGAACTGAGTAAGGAGTGGTAGGGGAATCAGAAAAGGTTTTTAAATCGGAGGATTCGGAAGGTTTCTGCTACCAGAAAGATCAAATCCTGACCCTATCCCAGGAGTAGGGATTGAGTTCTGCGCAGCTGAGGAGGGGGTTGAATGAAAGATTGGGAGGGAAGAGATCAGCATTTGGTGGGGGGCGGAAGGCAATGAAATGTTTTTACCTCAGTTCTCAGTCAGGTTAGAGTGTATTGAGTATTCTGATGTTCTCAATAACTTCTGGTTAAACCACTTACACTCTGCTTTCAAAACAAAACGATAAAAATATCTTACTACCGCTTTTCTAAAAATGACCTGCCGGTGGGTCGCAAGCAACTTAGAGGGGGGTCGCGGTCACACGAAGTTTTTGAGAACCCCTGTCTTAATAAATAATTAGGTTTTTTTCTGTTGTTGTCCTGTGATGTTTGATTTAATCAGTTGTTTTCACAGCAAGACAACACAATTGGTGTCCACCTATGGTCCGTATCTCCATCAACTGTGTTTATTTTAGGTCTTCCTCCTTGTGCCATGCTACAGTTGCTTCTTCCGAGTGTTGTTCTCTGTTTTTCATACAGATTTCCTGCTTTTCCTGAGGAAATATATTGAGGAAACTATGACAACAATAAAAATATCTGTCTGAATACCTGCAAGACCATCCAAAAGGCTCCTCTATACCTGCTTGTAGGTTCCTGTAGGATATAGACTTCGTAGCTGATCCAAGTAATGGCCTGTAGGTAGAATTCCCATTGGGAACAATTGGTGTTCAAGTTGGATGCTGATCTGAAAATGAACTTCCAAACCAGGTCCCATTCCTAGGACAGAGCCCTCAACAAATGTGTGTGTGGCCAACTTGATCTGAAGGAAGAAATCCCAGTATCCTCAGCTTCTTCAGGGTAGGGGGGCTTTGCCCAAACTCCACAACTAGAATCATACGAAAGCAGACGCTGATTTCAAAACTAGTCTCATAGTCATCATAGTTCCTGGTAAGGTGTGCGCCTGCACAGCCGTGCACAAATGATTCTTCTCCCGCCCACCTCCTCTGGAGAGCTACTTGCGTGGCAGGCGGCTGCTCTGGCACACAGGACCAGCTGAGATGGCGTGGTGAGGGAGCTTCTGGGGCAGGAGGCCAGAATCTGCCATGGCTGCTTGGCAGGGGGGGTGTCTGCTCTGGTGACTGGGAACGTGTGTGCTAATAAATTGGGTACCACAGTGGCACACGTCCAAACCAGCGCACATGACCTCGATAATGGTGCACAAGCCAGAACTCACTCTGCTCACGGTTGGGAAATCTTAGAGGGAACACTGCCAGTGATCAGTGGAGCCAATCTAGTAATCTTCCATGCTGAGTGCAACCTGTCTGCCCCTCAGAACTGCGTCCCCGACAAGCTGGGAAGGTTTGATATCTGCTGCAAGAGTAAGGCTACACCGGAGCGGGGAGGCGAAACTTCCCGCTGGAGTTCACATCTCTGCACTGCCTCTGATCATCAGGCTAGCGTACTACAAATTGAAGTTTGCCCACAGCAGGGCGATAGATTAGCCGCCCTGATCACGGTCCCCTCAAGACTCTAAGAACAGCTGAGGCAGCAAGAGACCAGCCTGTCACTTGCACTGCTGAGGCTGCCCTGGTATTTTTAGCATGCTGGCCCAGCCATAGCAACCATGGTTGTGTCCGATCTGGAAATTACATCTCCAGCTCCTGTGTAGACACACTCCAAGACAGCGGTTCTCAGACTGCGGTGTGGGATCCCAAAGTGGGCCGTGATCCTGTTTTAAAGGAGTCAGGGGCAGATGATGATTTTGCGGGGTCCAGAGCAGCACAGTTTCGCGGGGACCCCCCTTTGACACAGCGCATGCGCGGGGCTTCTTGAAGCGCGGGGCCCGGGGCGACCGCCCCGCTCACCCTGCCCTATATCCGCCCCTGAATGGAGTCACCAGGGCTGGTGAAAGATTGGATGGGACCAGGGAGCCAAGCCAAAGCCACACTGCCCAGAGCTGAAGCATGAGCATCTGGAGCTCAAGCTTTGGCTTCGGATTTCAAGTCTCTTGCCTGGAGCTGAAGCCTTGGGGCTTTGGCTTTGGCCCTTCCACCCAGGGCAGTGGGCCTCAGCTTCAGTGCCCCCTCTTGGGGTCATGCAGTCCAGAGGGGGCCACAATGCAATGACGTTTGAGAGCCGCTGCCCTAAGAAAAGCACAGTACTGGAATGTACTGCCCACATTTGAATGCAAAATACTATTGTTCTGGAGGTGCAGAAAAGCATCAGATTGCAGTTCCCACTCCATGTGACAAGCTAGCACGCACAACGCTAGTATCCAGCACCTGCCACAGAAGCGCAAAGGTGGGGTTCTGGTGCGGTTCTGGGGCAGCTGTGAAATCATCAGCTGCACCTGCATTATGAATGGATATAA